CCTTCGGAGGGGCCCTGGAACCCCACAGTCTGCCTGCTCCCTTTGCCATAGGGCTGCTTTGAAGACTGAGTGTCCACCAAGACTGAAGAATAAGATGCCCACCTCACCTGGACAGCTTGTGTTTTCATGCTGTTGGATTCAAAATGTGAAATGAAATTGCAGCTGGGCTTTGAAGAGGAGTTCTGTGTGCTCAGTTCCTTGGGTGGAGATCAGTCAGGGCACGGCTTCTCTGTTCAGACCAAGAGACTGGGACGCAGACGTGGGGCTCTTGTCCTGGCTCTGTCACCAGCTCTCCTAAGTCACTTCTCACTCAGTTACAGTTTCCTTTGTTTGTGATGTGGGACAATGAAGCCCGTGCCCTAGCTCTGTAGGAAGGATGGGGTGAGATAATGGCAGAGGACTGGGTGCCCTGCAGAGCCTGCCTCCTCGGGGACGGGCCTGTCATGGGAGGTTTTCCCCTGCTCCAGGGCTTCCTCCCCTGGGTTGGAAGGAAGAAGGGAGGATCAGCATTCAACTTCACCAGGGATGCCAGACAACATGGCACATACCTCGTTAAACTTGACTTTCAGACAAATAATGAGTACCTTTGGCATAAGTGTATCCTCCCTAATGCACGGGGTAGACTTATACTAAAAATCACTTGGTGCTTATTTGGGGTTCAGATTTAACTGGGCATCCTGCTTACCCCCCGCCCCTTTTTTTTTTTGGTATAGAGGAACTCCAGGGATGCTTTATCCACTGAGCTATGTTCCCAGTCCATTTTATTTTGAGACAGGCTCTCACTAAATTGCTGAGGGTCTCACTAAGTTGCTGAGGCCGGCGTCAATCTTGTGATCCTCCTGCCTCAGCCTCCCCAGTTGCCAGAATCGCAGGCAGTAGCGCTGTGCTTGGCAGGATCCTGCACTTTTACGAGTAGATTTGGTAGTCCTGGCTTCTTGCTTTTGCCCCAGCAGGGTGCCCCTCCTTTCCTCTGGTGTTCCAACAGGACCGTTGGCACCGGCTGGGTGGCACTGAGTCAAAAGACGGGTTTAGCTCCAGACACTGACCCACATTAGTGCTGGTGCCAGGTGAGTCACTTGCCCATGCTGACCCTCTGCTGTCCCGGTTCTTACAGCTCAGCCCACGAGGCTGTCGTGAGGGTGCAAGGAGCCTCTGTGAATCTGGGGAAGCTCTGGAGCACGGGGCGTGATGGTACTTCTGTGAGCCTCCTTCTGGATGCACAGTGAGATTCTCCCCAGCCTGCCCTGAACGGATGGTCACTTGCAGCTAGACAACAGCTTCATCACAAATCGCCTCTGCTGTCCCCCCGGGCTTCAGGGGCATGTCCAGTGAATGCTCTTTTCTGGCTTTGTCCTCTTATGGGGGCCAGGTCCAGGGCAGTTGCTGAGCTGGGTCCTGCCCACTGTGGTCCCTCCCTCTGCAGGTCCCACTGCCTGGCAGCCCTTTTCCTGCCTTCTTCGCAGGGACAGAAGTAACTTTTGCAGTTCCTCTTTCCAAGAAGCTGGTGTTTTCTCAGCCTTTCTGGACATTTCCTTTTCATTTCCTGGGAAAGCCTGTCCTCTCCCAGCTGCAGGAACCGTCCCCGCCGACTTGAGGAGCATCCTCCCGCCGTCACACAGATCTTCCTGGACCAGCACCGTAGGCTCTCCCTCCCCACTGCGCTGGGCTTCCTTCTGCTCCGTGGAGCTACCTGGGAGGCTTCCCCTGGTCCTCCAATGTGTCTGCTGCCTTCTGCTCTCTCTGTGTTCTGTGCCGCAGTAGGCTTTCCGTGAGAGCATACGGTTTTTCATTTTTGGTTGAATTTTGCTTCATACCTACCAAGGGTCAAGTGGCACCAATTCCCACCCTCAGTGATGGATGGAAAAAAAGATGGTACCAATGCTTGCAATAAAAAAATCAGTGTTTCACCACAGAGAAGCCAAATTGACCATCGGAGGTAGGCACAGAGAGTGTTGAGAGTGTTGTGGTTGATTCTCATGATGCAAGGCCTTGTGACACAAGTTCTGTGCTGCCACACGGGAAGTGGCTATGTCATTGCAGGTTTTTACCTTTCCCTGCTGTTGAGTTATCAGCCTGCTCTTTTGTAACATGAAATAAGGGTACAGCAGTTCTGAGGTGTCTTTCTGGAAGGGACAATTCCCATGCACAAGCATGCTTATGTTTTCTAGAAAGCAGGCTAAGGATTCTAGGGGCGAAGCCAAAAAGACTCAGTAGATTTTGGTCAAAATGCCTCCAGTTGCGGAAACTCAACAGCAAAAGGACAGATGTCACTCAGCACCTGGGAGCGACAGCCAATCAATTCTTTTATCACCCGTGCAGAAGGAGAAAATCCTGATTTAACAGAGTGTTGATAGTGAGTAATTACTAACTGAAGAAACAGTTGTGACAATGACTTATTTGTTCTTATTTTAATAACATAAAGACACAGTCTGTTTCTCAAACCTGTTACCAGCTTCGCAGTTTCCTTATTGCATCATTCAGGAATTAGTTTTATTAGAATTGGCAATCTAACCTAAATCATTACAGCAGCAATGCCACTCGCCCTGTGAAAGTGCTGTTGTGAAATTCAGAAATCTCGGTTGGGCATACAGATGATGCTTTGGCTGTACTCTTGAATTCCTGTTTTAAAAATAAGGTAGTTGTGAGTTCAATACTTTGCTGGTGGGAAGTGATTTTATGTACATGAGTTGGAATAAAATATGCTGCACAAGCTCTCTCTTTTCAGTTAGTAGAATTTACAAATTTACTTATCTGTGTCATTTTTTTAAACTGAGGTTAATTGACAAATAAATGCCTCATATGAAATAACATTGCAAGCAATAATTGACAGCAAAAGCACCCAATATGTCTTGGAAGTCCGTGTGAAGATCTGCTATCTGACCGTGGCTGCTTCTATAGGTTACTAAGAAGTTGTGTTTTCTCCACCAGTCTCCCTTTATGGAGGAGGCTTTGGCAAATATACACATATTGCACTTTTTCTGATCTATTAATCAAGTTTGAGTTTGCATGCATCATCTAGAAGCGGATTAAGCAAATTGTCTACCTCTTGTTTTTTAATTGCTTTGACAATTTTCTCTCTCTTCTTTCAGGTAAAAAACTCCCAAGATGCAAAGCATGCACTGGATAGATAGCCTTGGTCTCCATGCCCCTCACCCCTTTTGGGGAGAGGGGGTACAGAGAGCAGCACCGTTTGCCACAAGATGGAGCTCTGCGGATGACGTTTTGTGAGTTTTGCTGATTAAGAATCTAATTTCCCCTGACAACTGGGGTGCATGAGGCACCCTGTTATTTCCAAGTCTTCCTAGACACACTCTCTGTCAGGGCTCCTGGCTGCACTGGTTAATGTTCCCACACACAAACAAGAATGTGCCACGTAGATCTAAAGCTCTGCCTGCCTTGGGAGGGCCGCTTTCCATGGCTTGATCAACATTTTCACCTGGAAGCTCCTGCTGCTGCTGGCAGGTTCCGTCAGAGGCAGGCCACAGGCTAGCTTCTGCTGAAGGCTGATTTATCCTTGTTCTGGTTGAAATCTTGGAGAGATTGTAGGGTTCACTAGAAATGCCCGGTTCCCCGTTCAGAAGGGGAGAAGTGAAGTTCCTGGCCTGGGTGGGAGCCCTGCTTGGGCTTGGAGAGCTCGGTGGGCGTCCTTGGCCACACCCGATGGTGCTCCACTTGTTCTTCCTCAGCCCTGTGGGGCACTCAGCATCCCTGCAGGAGCACCCCCCACGGCCCCAGGTTGGGGACAGGAGGAGCGGTCAGCCAGCCGCAGGCTGGTCCAGGCTGGAATGGCTCAGCGGTGCAGGGCTGGAGACGCTGACCTCACCTTGGAGGAGAGCAGCTTCAGGCCACCAGCGACAGAATAAATTCCTTAACAAGACCAGGAGGAAGCCGGCGCTTGGCGCGGTCCCCTGGCTGGGGCCTCGGGAGCGGAGACGCTTCCCTTCTCCTCGTCTTTACGAGGGCAGGAGAGGGGCAGCCTTCCATGGTGCACTGATGCTGTCCCTCAGGGGTACATTTTTAGCTGCAGAATTTATGAGTTGCACATTTATTTGATTTGGCTTTTGGTTAATTTTTTTCTCCTCTTGTCAACCTGACAATACGAGGGCAGACGGAGGCAGTCCCTGCAGAAGAGGCTGTAAACGGTGCTCCTGGAGGCGGCTTGGCAGAGGCCGGGAGGTGCCCTCCGCTGCCTCCCGCTCCTCTCTCCCCTCTCCTCTCCGCGGCCGTTGGAAAGGCTCAGGCAACCGGAACCCTCCCCTCCAAGTAGATAAGTCCTGGAATAAACATGGCTGTGAGTCTCATTAACATTTCCTCTCAAACCCCTAAGCACAGAACCCCCAAATGGCCCCCTGGGCCTCCCCGTAATTTCTGGAAAGCACATAAAAAGACCATCGGTGGGTATATTTGCGGAAATCACTAGTGGGAAAATATGAGGGGATATGCTTATACGTCAATAACTCTTTCTGACACCACCTTAGCGCAGGTGGCGTGGTGACTCCCCTCATGGAGGGAGAGACCTATGGCCTGAGTTTTGTCACCAATGTCAGGCGTCCATGGAGGTGGCACAAGGAAGATCTTGGTCATTTCCCCCTTTTAACTGATGTGGATGTATGGACATTTTGTCACCCTAATGACCCCTGGCTTTGGTTCTTCTGACCACTCCATGTCACAAGAACATAGTGACCCACTTTTCAGAGTGGCAAATATCCTTTAAGGAAAAACTTATGCTCGAAAAGATCCAACAAACAGATGCTCAGTCTGAATGCTTAGAACCGTACAGTGTTGGGTTAGCGCCATTCTGCTCTGCAGCGTGTATCTGAGGGCATCGAAGTCAGTGAGGGGAGATTCACTCTGGACTCTAGTGAAACCTGTTTGCCATGTTTCATGACATTGTTTATTTGGGAGTTGTTAGGGTTCACTCCTGGAGAGCTTCTCCTGCCGAGTTTTGTTTTGAGATTCCTAATTTGACCCTTAGCATGGCCTAACAAAGAAGGACACGGTCATTGGTACCCAAGAAAAACAAATTGCCGGTGGATAGGGGACAGCTTGTGATGCGACTCATCACTTCTTTGAAGGCGTGTTATCAAGTGACTGGGCAGAACTCCGCCTGCAGGAGCCTGATTATGGGCTATGGACGGGGCACATTCAGAGAGAGGAGAAGCAATCCAGGGCCCAGTGATGGCGTCTGACTTGGGAGGAAAACAGGTGTGGGGTCCAGGGTAGCACCTGGCAGCCATTTTGTAGTCTCAGGAGGGCCCTGCGGTACTGGACTTACTCGAGGGGACAGTGGTTGTGAACCGGGACCTCAGCACACAGGGAGTGCTCTGCTGGCGCACACAGAAGCTTAGGACTTGCCGTTTTCTGGTCCTCACCTTGGCTTGTAAGCAGAAAGAAATTGGGTCAGCACCAGATGCACTTCACATTCTGTCTCTCTCTCAGCACTGAACTATTTTAGCCACCTTCCCCCTGGGAAGGGCCACCTTGTCCAAGTGATGGTGGCCAATGTCTTGACGAAAACGGATCTTGAGTCTTTCTGTATGGTCGCGAGATGCCTTTGCTGACCTTTGCCCAAGAGGCCAAAGCAGCTGCGTCAGGCACCTGTAGCTGAGCCTCGGCCTTGCTTCCTCCATCACCAACTCCACCCTCCACACCTGTGTCTTCCCGGGTGCCAAGTGCCCTCCCTTCTCCTAATCTCACACTTCCTCCTCCAGTACCTTTGCTCCTGGCCTCCACCTCCACCCAGTTGATTCCCTTGGTGCATCTGTTGCTCCAGTCCTGTCATCCTCTCTCCTCCACAGCACTGAGCAGAGTGAAGAATGGATCCGGGTTTTGGACTCCTGGCTGGGAGCTCTGGAGAGGTGGCCACCAAAGGAATCTCGCCTGTCAGATAGTAGGAAGTTGACTGCCAGCCTCCCATTCTGACCTCCCCAGGGATGGGCCAGCCACTCTTGGCCATGCCAGATTTAGCTTCCTGTTCCACAGATGATCTTGATGGAACAGAAAAATTTTGAGTTGATTATAAGCCTCTTCTATATCCTTCAGAATTTGCTGGGGTTTTTGCAACTGACTTCAGGATTTTGAGTACAAGGATAACATTCGTGAGCAATGGGCAATAAAAGTCCAAGTCTTTGCTCAGAATTGAGGGTAACTGGGCTGTTTGGAGTGGACAGTCTCAGCTGAAACTTCACATGTTTGTGTGTAATTTCATGCAGACAAACCCAAGCCAAAGGGAAGTCAGAATTAGGAAAAGCCGGACGTGGCTGTGATGGCTGCGGGGCTGACGAGAAACTGCTAACGTCCACGTGGAGCCACTGTAGGGTTTATAAGAACATAATGGATGGAGACGAGAAAACCCTTGGTGGCCGTGAAGGCCCTGATGCCGTGTATGTCAAGTCGATGTCTTCTGATGGTCATGAATGTATTGTAAAAAGAGAACACGCACTAACCTCAGGAACAATAAAAACCATGGCGAGAGGCCCAGGTCAGTTTGCTGAAAATGAAACTAATGAGGTCCGTTTTAGAGAGGTCCCTTCACATGTGCTATCAAAAGTATGCATGTATTTTACCTACAAGGTTCGCTACACTAACAGCTCCACCGGGATTCCCGAGTTCCCAATTGCACCTGAAACTGCACTGGAACTGTTGAAGGCTTTGAACTTCCTAGATTGTTAAATAAAATTAATTATAATAAACCGTTAATTTTTTCAGCATTTAATACTTGTAATTCAGTTAGTAATTTTTTTCACATATAGCATGTTGCCTGTATGAAATTGAACTACACATTTAATTGCAAAGCAGATTTTCTTCTGTTCTTTTGCATAGCAAAGTTGAAATTTGTTTACTACATCAACAAATTAAGGACATTTTCACAAACTGAGAAATAAACAATTATGCCAACTTGTAGTTGGTTTTACTTATCCTATGGATGTGACTTTTCAAATTAGAACAATGATAATTCAATAAATGCTAAAATACAGGCATAAACAAACATGTTCTACAGGTAAATAATGGGGCTATATAATTTTTTGTGTGTTTTTTAAAAAGCTTATTCTGATCTATAGCCACTGCTAGCATTACTAGAGTTATACAAATAATTACATCATAAACAGATTTATAACTTAGCCAAAAGTTGATTTTTATAATTCAAAGAATGAGAATTGAAATTTCTTATGTCTTTTTTTTGATAAACCACAGTATTATTTGAGTGTCTCTTGTGTTTTATTTATTGCTACACTTTAAGAACTTTATTTAAAAACAATTTGGAAGATCACTAGGTACAACTTTAAAATAGTAACTGCTTGAACTCTGACCCATGGTCAACAAGTGAACTTCACGAAGACTTAGATCCTGTTCCTGGTGCATTTGGGGCAATCCAAAGTACTGTACTTTCAAACTTCCTTTACAATCAAAATCTCATTCTTCATAGTCCCTCATGAATATACTTCTTTTTGCTTTAAAACACTCATTATAAGTTTTATCTAGATCTTAAAGATAGATTTTTTTGAACAATACCTGTCTTCCTCCATCAAATGTTATAAAGTATGAAAAATGTTGAGCAATGTAGTGAAAAAATCTTATAATGCACTTAGATATAGTACATGAATTATCTTCTATTAATTGAAGTATATTCCTATAAATATGGTTCCTTAATGAGTGGGTTTTATGAAGTCAGACTTATGAGGAGGTCATTCAAATTTAAGCAAACAAAGAGCATGAGAAACTGACAGAGCATCTTTGCGTATGCTTGGGAGAGGAATCACTGAAGCTGGGTTTAGTGTTGTCTGTTTTAATACAGTAAAGCTGTGATTTTGAGGTCTATAAACTTAAGTCTTCACCTTATTGTTAAGACTAGCTTAATTTAGACCAGTTTTTCTGGAAAACTGCAAAAACATAAAATAATTTTTCCTTTTAGAAAACCTAAACATTATCATTTACAGCTTATTAAAAACAGTTAATATAACACATATTTTTAGTAATTTAAACATTCAGGTACATGGGCTGGGGTTATGGTTCAGTGACAGAGCACTTGCCTCACATATGTGAGGCACTGGGTTCGATCCTCAGCACTGAATAAAAATAAATAAACAAAATAAAGATATTGTGCACATGTATAACTAATTTTTTTAAAAAAAATTTAAAAAAAACATACTGGTACATGCTTTAGAAGATCTTCTGGGGCTGGGATGTAGCTCAGTGATAGAGTGCTTTGAGGCACTAGGTTTGATCCCCAGTAAGATGGGGAGTGGGAGGCTGCTACTTAGTAATCAATAATAGCCATTAGAAACCTATATGATGGTTTCTAAAGGTGAGAGCTGGAAGTAAAGTTGGATCAGTTTTTGTAGGTTACTTTGTGTTGGATCCAGAAGTAATCTTAAGTTTAGGACATTAAAATAAAACTAGAATGAAGACCAGATAAAACCTGTGTATCTTGCAGCAAATGGTACTTGCATCTTAATAAAGGCTGATAGACTAAAAGGTTAAAAAAAATTAGGAAATGCCATTTAAAAATTATTTTATGATTTTATTAGGACTTCCATTTCTAGAAAGTTTGTTATCATTTTTTACTTGTTTATTTTAATGTAATTAATATTTTTTTGAAAAAAAAAACCTTATTTAATTACCTAATGGATTTTTTTTTTCAATGAAAATCTTCTCATAAGAAATAGGAAGAGATTTAAGTGAAGTGGACACAGTTTCTCTCTTGTTTTTATAAAGCAATCTTTGGCTCTTGCAGAGTAGGCCCTTTTCCTCAGCTACCAGGCTGACGCAGACTCCAGCTGCCTACACCCCAGCACCCCATACCTGCAGAATGCTCTACCTTCTGCACCCCATATTATCAGCATTCTGTACATTCAGCATCCTGTACCTTTGCAGTGAAGAGTATCCCGAGTGATCTGCTTTGTTCATGACTTAATTATGTTATTTTACTGTTCTTGAAAACCTAATACCAGGCAAATTTACATTACTGTGTTCTTAATTAGCCAATAATCCTTAAGGATTTGAATGATACATACCCCAAGTAATTTCCTTCCTCACTAAATATGAGTTTTCTTGCATCAGGTTAGGAAGACGGGACAATGACAGGAGGCATCTTGGTGATGACAGCCCTCAACAGGTCTGTCTCCTGAGTCACACTGCGTTAAAAGCCAGAGAGGGTTTCAGCAGCATCATGAAGCACGTCATAGAAATCGATAGATACACCGTGTTGTTGGCTATGACGAGCTTAGCTCTTCATCAGAAGCACAACCCTGCCCGTGCAGCTTCTAGCCTTTCAATTAAGTCAGCCGCGCATTTCTGTGCCTATAATCCACAGCCTCCGTGTTGGCTGCACGCCTTTGGCTGGAAACACGTGCATGTCCCCCACATAGGACCCACGGACAACTGGCTGGCACCTGCAGTTGCCTTGGGTGCTGCAGAGCCCAGTTCAGAATGCTTCCACCTCTGTTCACGCGAGAATCTCCCCCCTCTGGCTGCCTCCTCCTCACTTGCTGCCCACTCTTACTGCCCGGCTGCTGACCACTGTCCCTATGACTTCCTTCCTCATGGGACCTAATTCATCCAGCTCTCCTTTGGTTGCATGTGGCCAGGGGCTTTGGGGTGGGTGGGGTTGGTCCATGCCAGGGCTTCTCCAGTTACTTAGTCAACTAGATAGTGGATGCTCGTCCTGGCCAGCTAGATAGTAAGACATCTGTCCAGGGTCACAGTGAGCACACTTAGGTAGTTAGGGTGCGGTATGTTCAGATCTACAGGGGGACCCAAATTTCAATTTAAAATGCCAGGCAATTAATTTCAAGGATATCATTATTTTAGGTTTGCAATGCATGATGGTCTAGGCCAATCATCACTTTTCCGAGCTAGAGATTGGTTTAGGCAAAAACGTGATAAAATTCTGGCCAATAAGAGGCTGAAGGGTCCCTAGGAGGGGTTTGAATGACCAAAATAAGAGATAAGGGAAGCAAGGTCCCTTTCCGGCTGCTTGAATGGGTCCCCAAGGTGAAACAGGACAGGAGAGGGCTCAGTGCAGATGGCAAAGGGCCAGAGGATGGCCGCCGGGTCCTTGCGTGCTGGGAAACCTGCAATTCACAGAGCCCGAGCAGGAGTCCTCGTGAGATCGTCTCCCGAGTTTAACCAGTCCTGTGGAGTCCTCTGTCCCTTGCCATCCAGAGCTTCCTAATATGCTTCTTCACAGTGTCTAGGAATCAGCTTGTAAGTGTCTGCGGTCACTGACGTCGAGGGACACCCGTCGCTTTTCAATTAAAAGAATAAGACGAACTGGGAACCTGTGTGTCACGTCAAGCTTACTGGACCTGTGTGGCTTTGGTGGCCTGTGGGACTGGTGTGGGGACCTGACTCAGCAGGCCACTGGAATTCTCGATTTGACCTTGGTGGTTATGGCTCTTCATAGGTGACCTGGAAGGTCCATGATGCTCAGTCGTTTGTCACTTTGCTGAGCCTGACTGTGGATCCTGTGTGCCGTGAACACTCAGCTACCGGCCTAGAGGACGCAGCTCACGGTGCTCCTGTCTCTGGGGACTCGTCAGCTCTTGACCAGGACTCACTGGCTCCTGGTGATGAGGCGTCCCACCCTCCAGTCGCCTCACGTACCCACACAGCGTTCATTGATGCTGGAAACGGAGAGAAGGTGCAGAAGAGGACGGAGTGCCAGGCAGTGGAGCTCTGGGCCAAGTGGAGAGTGACGTGCTGGCCAGTGGCCAGATCCAGTGGCTATGGTCCTAGGAGGAGCCATGGAGCCCCTCAGGAGCCACCTGTGGACCCGTGGTGTCTGCGCTTCCCCAGGGCGTCTTGCTGGCTGCTGGGGCTTCTCCCTGGACAGCATCCTGCGTCTGACATCACAGAACACGAGGATGCTCCTGGGCCTCACTGCCCCTGATGGGGACCGGCCAAGGCTCTGGACACACCTGCAGTAGGTGAGTCCACAGTAGGAGGACGGCCCAGGCTGGAAGCTGCTCCATGTCGGGAGGTCATGGTGATGGCTTTGCTTACGTAACGCGCATCCTCACAGAAGTGCCTGGCTTCTACCTGCGATCCCCCTTCCCCAGTGTCGGAGTCTGTCTTCTCCAGTGGAAAATCCAGCTAAGCAATGTTCGGGGTTCATTCTGCAGAAGCTCAGGAATCAGAGGCAGAAGGCGGAGAAAGTGAATCCTTTGGTGACACTCGGGGAGAACGTGAGGATGCATTCCGAGTGTTGACCAGGTCCTGGTCACACGTGCTCGCCACCTGGCACGGCTCTCCTGGGTGGGTGGCTCTGCTTGGCTCACAGTCAGCGCTGTACATCCTTGGTGACCAGCCTCCCTGTGGAGTCAGACATCTGCCCAGTGCTCCGAGTGGACAACCAGGGCCTGGGCAGTCAGGGCGGGCGACGGCTCCTCTGTGAACTTCAGTTCAGGTTGGTGCGTCCAGGTATC